CGGGTGTTTGTCCAAGGAGCTCCTGTGGCCCCAGAGGCAGCCGGAAATCAGGTTGGTGACTGCAGCACCTCCATCCCACCCTCAGCATGGGTCCGAGCTCCCCTGCAAGTCCCGGATGTGTGTTTTCAGCAGCCAGTTATGCAGCTTGTGCCAGGCTGAGCCCTGGTGTGGCATCCGGCAGCATCACCCAAACCTCTGGCCACTAGAGGCAAGTTCCAGCTCAGCCACCACCAGAGCCTGGGCCAGAGCTGAGCTGAGCTGAGCTGCTTGGGCAGATGGTTCAGTCCTGGAGCTGCCAGCACCGAGCTCCAGCCCCTGCTCTGGGGCCAGCAGGAACCCGGCTGCTCTGCTAGGGGAGCACTGACAGCGCCCGGGGGAGCTGCCTCCATGAGAACATAGAGACTGTCCCTGCCTGTACTCGGAGAAAGACAATAAACAACATTTATCCCCACATTTTTAGTGGCTGTTCACACACCTTGTTGTCAGCCCAGGCACCTACTTCAACCTCAACTGGCTACAGAGACACCCAGACACAGAGTAAAGGGGAGAGAGCAGCTAAGGGCTTGGTACACAAAACCAGCTGCTCTCTAGAACATCACGGCAACACTGGAGTAAACAATGAGCAGCTCTCCTGGAGAGGGGAGGAATATTCTCACCCTTGGGAAGCAAACTGAGTGTGTCCACCTGCTGCCTCCCTGGGGAAGGAGGAGGCAGAGCGGTGGCAGAGGGTTCATTCCAACAGCAGATTGAGAGCAGACCATGGGGGGTGGGTTGTTATGCTTTTAATTAACATCTGAAACACATAAGGCATATGGTAACATTAGACAGAAGAGCATTACACAGCGTAGTCATGTAAACAGCATTGGCACACTTGCTTTCTGTCCACCTTGGTTACACGCACAAAGCGGAATACAAAGATTTGCCACGTGGCTGTAGGATGAGTTTCACTCTTGTCACACTCCAAATCAACACGACTCGGACAGCACAGACCAGACCGGGCGGTGTGAGAGGCTCAGTCTAATGCATTGCACATCACGCTCGTGTAACACGCGCCACTCAACTTTGCCATCACCAGGGCTTGGCACACATTAGACAACAGGGTGGGTTTACACCTCTGACGGCAGCAGGATCCTGCACCAGTTAAAGCCTGAGGCCCACAGTGCTTCCCACTTCCCCCTGCTCAACCAGCTCTAGTTTAATACTGTTGTCCAAAATGAAAAGCACAGTTAAACTCCTTCCTCCAGCTCACAGGTATTTGGCAGGGCTCACGCTCCTCTATGCAAACCAAAGCTGCAACACAGCCCAAGAGAATCCGAAGAGCCAAAAACGTGACAGAAGCAGCCTGGTGATAGCAAAGGGGTTGCATTTTGTCTCAGACCAGCCTAGGCAGGCGCCTGCAGTAAGTGGCACTGCACAGGCACCCCTGTGCTGAGCAGCCACAGCGGGCAGGGCCAGGCCCCCTGCTCCTGCCATGAGCTGTTCACTTGGTCTCCTCACCACCACCACCTTTGGATCAGGCAATCTGCAACAGAAACACTAAATGGCATTTGGTAGGGCTGGAACGGCACCCGGCCCATTTCCTCTGCCCTAAACAGTTGAACAAGTGGGTGGAATGGTTTTGATCCTGGGGTTTCGTTTGGTTTTTGCTTTGGTCCTTAGTACACAAACCTGCTGGTTAATGTTATTGAGTTAAGACACTTGAAAAGCTGTTGTACATCGGTTCGATACTTCTTAGCCCATAAAATGTCCATGAAAAAAATAAGGTAAAAAAACCCCAACCAAACAAACCCAAACTAAAAACAACCAACCCCAACCAATAGAGGGGAGCAGTGTCAGTGAGGTGGTGGAGAGCAAGGTTACGCTTAATCTTGGCTTCTGTAGAAAACACTGTTACTACCAAGGGGGACAAAACAGACAGTGACAAACACGACCCAACAGAAACTGCTCAGCACTCTGGCCCTGATAAGGGCTTCAGGAATGTGGAGAGAGGACACATGAGCAACTATGGGAAGGGAGCCAGGAGCTGGGATTGGCTCCAGGGCAGCAGATAAAGCCTTGCTCAAGGGCTGGCTGGAGCCGAGCAGCTGCCCTGGGGGAGACAAGGGCTCTACGAGCTCTTCTGGACCGGGGAGCACAGAACCACAGCCTGGAAAGGCTGTAACACATGGAAAGGGAGCGTCTTACCCACGGCAAGTCAGACTGCAGCACTAGGGGTCACAGAACAGAGCCAGCAAAAGGCAGAACAGGTTTTTGGCAATACTTCGAAAGGCCAGAAGGGAAAAGGCTCCAGTGACTTCCCAGTCCTCACAGGCACGTAGGAGAAGGCACCGAGATACTGTTGTGTGAGGCGTAGCACAAGGCAGCGCGGCGGCCGTGTCCTATGGGAAGCTGCAGCGGGAGGGACAGGCTGCGAGAGCCTTTCTACCTGCCTGACCCAAGAGCACCCGAGTAAGGCACTGAGCACACGCCTGGCCGAGAGCAAAGCAAGGAGAGGGGGTTACTGTGCCACACGGCTGGGTAGTGCTCCCCTTCACAAGTGTGCGGAACCTGCAGGTGTGCAGGGCTGCGCCGTGCGAGCACGCTGCTCCTCCATCAAGGGGAAGTCCAGTTTCTCAGAGGAACAGGTCCCGACTTCCCATTCCAGCAATTTAGACAGTCCTCCTGTTGTCAGACCCGGTAAAGCAGCATCAGACACTGTTGGATTGAGTTTAAGTTAGCACGAGAGGGCAGCTTGAAAGGAGAAGCAGCAAGATTTCGGATTCAGAAAGGTTAAAAGTTGTGCTTGTGAGTTTCATTAGACCATGTTTGTGAAGTTCACCTGTTGAGTGCAAGAGATGGACTGACAAGGATCTGTGACAGGCTCCAGCCTCCTCTGAGCTCCGAGGGTTGTTCTAACAGCTCCCACCATGGCAGAGGCCAAACAAACCCCACGAAGCCTTCCCACCACAGCTCCTGTCATGCCCCCATGGTGGTGGGCAGCAGGTACAAAGTGAGGAAGTTGGGGTCCTCAGGCAAGGGGGGCTACCACAGATCAGATCTGCCTGGGGTAAAAATGAGCCCTGTCAGAGGAGCATTCTGAGCTGGTCCTGCTTGGAGCAGGGGCCCTGCAGCCGAGGACTCGCCCCTCGGGTCAGGATGCATCCAAGGAAGCTCCTTGGGGGCAGAGCCCTCCTGTGTTAGGTGAGCGACTGCACATTTTGGAGCACTGGCCATAAACCTGAAGAATTAATTCTCGAGCCGGAGGGGTAGTGACAGATGCACTTGACACCCCAAAGCTGCAGCTGATGGAGCTTTAACTGAACTGCAGCTTTCGTTGGGTCTCAATGGGTTGGTGCAGCAGCAGCGGAGCCAGGGCAGGGCCCCAGAGGCTGTGCCGATGTGCTGCTAAAGGACTGGGCCCTAAGCCCCTGCCATACAAGACACGAACAGGAGCCCTGCTGGAGAATAGAGCTGGACCCTGTTCACCGGCACAGGACCCCCACCCCTGCACGGTGCTGCTCTTGAGCATATGGGGTCCTTCACCCCCTCCTCGGGGTCTGGGTGAGCAGGACTCTCGGTAGCAAAGGGTTTGCCACGATGGGCAGCTCTTCTTGGTGCCCTCAAATCCAAAAGGAAGCCTGAGAGCCTGCAACATCCACAGTCCACGGCACAGCCCCAAAGCAGGCACAAACTGCACCCCAGTCACTCCGGGCTGAAGAGAGGGTCCAGCAGGAAGAGGAAGCACCAGCCAGGACAATAAGTGCTCACAGGACTGGGCTCGGGGCTCTGCACAGCTCCCTTTCCAAATGCAAGGAAGAAAGAAAGAAACTGGAGCTCTGGCCTGGGAGGAGCACCCCAGGCAGCTCCTGAACCCTCAGCGTTGGAAGAGAGCCCAAGAGCCCCATGACTTGCAGTTTCAGAGGAAGAGGCGTCAAGCCCTGCCACAGCACTGAATCACGAGCTGAGAGCTGGTTCGAGCGGGTACCTATCGAGCTAGCAAGAAGAGGAGGGAAAGCACTATTTCAACTGCCCAAGAAGCCCAGGCCAAGAGGCTTGGCAAAGCTGGGCTGTCCCCCCGCTACAGCAGGAGCCTGCCAACAGCTCCACTGAGCAGCACGCCACAGAAGAGCCAGCCCAGCTCCTGGGAAGCAGCTACAGGACTGGCTCTTGCAAGTTACTTCCCAAACTGCAGCCCCTCCCCAGCGCACAAGAGAAAACAAGCATTAACGGGCTTATTTTGTTCCCATCCTGCTAAAGTCTGGTTCAACACTGCAGCCCTTGGAAACACAAACACGAGGGTGAACTTTAGCCTTAACAATACCAGCTTGGAGCCCAACATTAATAAAGCACAGAGCCAACATCAATTGTTCCAGTCATTTGAGACACAGTTGAGTCCTTATGGTCTCTAAAATTCAGACACAATTTAGATCTCCCTATACCGTTTGGAATCAGAAAATGGACAAGATCAAGTTACCTAATTGAAACTTTTCTTCTGTATTCAGACAGAATACATACAGAATATGTCTGTCTGTATTCAGACACAGACCAGCCTGTCAGGTTATTTGCTGACTGCACAGAGAAGTGACTGCAAATGAAGTGCAAGATGCTCTAGACTCCAAAACAGCAGGATGGTTATTTACAAAGCAAAGACAACAATGAGCTGACTGGTGTTAGAGGCCTACGAAAGCAGAGGGAAGAGCATGGTTAGTGTAAAGAGAACAGCCAGTGCTAGAATGAAACTGGGCCAGCTCTGCTTTTGCTCTGGCTGTGGAGGAAACTTCCCAAGTCTGGCCCCTTCTGCTGAGCAAATGACAGCACAAATGCTCCAGCAGGACCAGGCTCTGTGGAGCCACTTGGCAGTTCTACAGCACGTTACACCTTGACTCTACAGTGATGGGCTGTGCAGTTGTTAACCACCAAGTGCTGGAAGCTTCAGCCGTGCTGCCAGGGAAAAGGGAGGTTAGTTTAGAAATTCAGTAGAGAAACAAGTGAAATAAGCAGGCTTCGGACCAGACAGCGAGGGCAGGGGGTCAGGCACAATGAAAGCATGCAAACCTCAGCTGAACCTTAACCACGATGTTCTGGTGAAGATGGAAGCTACTGATCTGTCCATTTCCAGGTCCCAAAGAGATCAAGGAGTTAACCCACGAATTCACAATCTGCACACATCTCCTTAGTTCTCTTCTTTTTTGGATTCCTCCTTGGGTGCTTCAGGAACCAGGATGACCTTTCCAACATTCTTCTTCTCTTGCATCTGCCTCATGGCATCTGCCACCTGGAAGTAACAGGAACCCCGTGAGACCCACACCCCCTATGCACTGCCCTTCCTGGGTGTCTGGTCCACCCAGACCAGTTAAGGGGCCATCCAGGGGCAGCTTTCCTGGCAGCCAAATTTTGGAGTGCTTCTGCACAGGAGCATTTTGGACAGAGTTGGGCAGTTCCCCCGCTGTCCTCCTGGACTCACACAGACCAACTGCAACACGCAGAGGGATGCTCTGCAAACCGTGCAAGAGTGAAGTGCAGGTCTCCACAGCTTCCTTTCAGAGGGGAGCAGCCAGCAGCCAGGACAGTGCTTCCACCACCACATACCCACAGAACAAACATGCACAGGGGGTTATTGTTGTTATTTTAAAGTAAAACAGCACCTGGGCCAGGCCTGGATTCATCAGAGTTTTCCTTAAGCATTTGCACCAGACTAGTTCTCAGGTATTACACCAACTGATTGTCACCAAGTCCTTTGCTCCCCTGCAATAAGCCCTACCCCAGCAAAGGATTCCCAAGGGCAGAACCTGACCCTGCCTGCACACATTGATGCAACAGCACTGAGCAGAGCAGAGCTGCTGACCGCTGCCAGCCCCTTCCAACATCCTCACTGTGCCTGGGCTCTGTCTCGCTCGTGCAGGGGCAGCAGCAGCTTTCCCAGCTGCCTGCTCCATTACAGGCTGCAGACTCAGGGCAGTTTCCAGTCTGATGCATAACCCAGACCCTCTGTGGGCTGCTGCTGCTCATGGAGCGCAGCTGAGCACCTGCCCTATTCCATAGGGATGCTGTCTGGTGCTGCCCAGCTCTGTGCACTGGAGCAGAAGAGCCCAGCCCCTTTACTCCCCCTTGATATCTTAAAAGGAAAAAAAAGCCCACTAAATACCTGAGAACAGATGGTTATTAAATGTCTGCAACAGTTCAGCCCCCATGAACAAGGTGTTCACACTGAACCAGAGCTCACTGTGCAGAAAACACTCGCCCAGTAATTTCTGGGTGCTGCAAGCCTATATGTTAACTCAGACTCACCTGATCAAAGGGCCATACAGAGTCTATTTTGGGCTTGATTTTTCCTTGACGGTACAGGCTATCCAGCTTGGATATAACACGTCCAATGAGCTCAAATTCTTCATCCATGGATCCAAGGTCATAGCCACACACAGCCTTGTTATGATGTAGGAGCTGCAAGGCATTGATGCTGAACTGGTTCCACCAGGTTTTAGCCATAGCTACAAGGCTCTTCTTCTGCCCAGTGAGCAGGTTTGCTACCCCTAAAAAGCAAGCAAGGCACAGATGAGCTGGAACGAACACAACCCGAGAGGCAGCAGGCACCCCATGGAATAGCTCAGAGTATAGGCAGGGCAACAGCTAATCACAGTGATGGAGGAGAGGCGAGAACTAGATCACATCAGGATCAGCCCATCTGACCTTCCATGGAAGCAGGAACCTGCCTCGGGGCACACAGAACTTGGATCACAGGCACCCATAAACAACCTAAATACAGAACATGTCCTCTCCCGGGAGGGCAGCAGCAGTGCAGGTAGACTGGCAGAGGCAAGAGGGAGTTACAAGTCCCATTCGGCCAGGCTGGCAGGACAGCACTCCCTTCTCCAGCCAGGCTTCCTCAGGGGAGCCACACGCTGCAGCAGCAGGCACAGCAGAAGCTGTACACTGGTGCATGTGTCTGGAATCCCACTGGGGGTTGTGTGAGGGCTTTGTCTAGGGGACAAAATCACAGTGTTTCAGGGTTGGGGAATGGAGAGATAAGTATTCAGTAGCCTCAAACCTCATCACCCACACATCCTCTGGCAGAAAAGCAAGGCTCTATTAGCACTGCGCATTAAGTCAGCCTGGACAAAGCAGCTGTGGCAGCATTCCTCCGTGAGGACATTCCAGCTTCCCCTGCAGGCACCGGCTCGTACTCGGAGAGACAACTCACCAGGGAGGGAAGAGCCTCGGAGCCGTGAGCAGAGCTCTGGGAACACAGCACTAACCTCACTCCCTCAGGCAAAGCATCCCAAGGACCTTTGTGGAACAGCAGCACTACACACACAGCAGTGAGCAACAGGCACGGAGCATCCCGTGCACATCCACATCCACACTGCCATCACACGCTTCCCCTGCTGCAGGAGCCGGGGTTTGGGCAGACACTGCTCACACTCACCGTCAGTGATGACTTTGCCCATCGGCTTTAACAGGTTAAATGCTTTGGATGTATCAGATCCTCCCAGGGGGTCCAGGACAATGTCAACACCTAGAGGGAACCAAGAGCAGCCGGGGGTTTGTTTGCAGTTGAGAGACCTGCCATCACACGCTTCCCCTGCTGCAGGAGCCGGGGTTTGGGCAGACACTGCTCACACTCACCGTAAGTGATGACTTTGCCCATCGGCTTCAACAGGTTAAATGCTTTGGATGTATCAGATCCTCCCAGGGGGTCCAGGACAATGTCAACACCTAGAGGGAACCAAGAGCAGCCGGGGGTTTGTTTGCAGTTGAGAGACATGGGACGGGTGTACGAGTCCTCCACCACCCAGTACCTTTGGGAGAGATTTTCCGGACCTCCTCTGCGTAATCCATCGTTCTGTAGTCAATGGGGTGAGCGACTCCGCTGCTCCGGAGCGCGTCGTGCTTGGAGGCAGATGCTGTGCCAAAAATGGTGACGTTTTCCACAGTCTTGCACAGCTGGATGGCAGCAGTTCCCACACCACCTGAAAACCAGTGAGAAGGACTCAGAAGCAAACATCCCCAGCAGGCAGAAAAGCCCCTGGATAGGTAAATTATCCCTGCTTGCACCGATGGCACAGCACCCGGAGGGAGGGGATGGAACAAAGGCTTTGCCTGGGGCAGGCTGATGCCTGGGGCACAATGGGGGAGACTGACCCTGGCTGCTGGGAAATGGCTTCAGTCCCACCCTGCTCTGGTCACGTCCTCCCCCATGGCACCGGTCAGAGGCTGCACGCTGAAGCCAAGAGTCTCAGCATGGGCTGGCGAGAACTATTTACCTGCAGCCATGTGGATGAGGACACTTTGGTTGGGCCTCAGGTTTCCGAAGTCGAACAGGATCATGTAGGCAGTGATGTAGTTGGCAGGAAGAGCAGCCGCTTCCTCGAAGCTCATCCCTGCAGGCATCAGGAAAGTCTGGCGTGCTGGAACGTTAACCACTTCTTGCCAGAGCCCCGACTTAGCCAGGACCATTACCTTATCACCAACCTACAATCAAACAGCGGACAAGGCGGTCTGAAACAAGCCCAGGCTTGCACAAGTCATCACACACCAGAGGCAGGCACACACATCCGTGGGCACTGCAGCACTCTGCGCTCCACTCAGCAGCACCAACACCAGGGCAACTCCCACCATGGACCCACATATGAAGGTTTCCTTCCACATTCGTGGAATTTAAAAGGATGTTCCCAAACGTGTCCAGGAATGGCACAGTCCTGCTTTAGCCCAACATCCTGCCAGTGCTCACCACTAACAAGAACATTCTGCGCAGAGAGTCACACAATGGTTTGTGTTGGAAGGGACCTT